AAACCCTACACTGAGATGATAAAGAAGAGTTCAAAAGTCAAGAACTTAAGATCTACTGTCAGAGTAAAGAAATAGTATATGAAATGACTATATCTGATACACTACAATCAAATGACTCAGTGAAACACATGAATTAAATAGTTATAGAGAAGATAAGAAGCTTGCTATTTAATAGTGAGCTGATGAAAGAGCTCTGAGATGAGGTAATATAAGCTGTAGTTATGATGATCAACACATTCTCAACATCAATGAAGATATTTAAATATAAGAAAGAAACATCACTTATATCTTTTAAAGTATGAACTGAGATGCAATCTTCTGTTCATTGAATACAGAGATGAGAGTGCAAGGTCTACAAGAAGAATTTGAAAGTGTTGAATAAGCTTATAAATAGAACTAACAGCAGGGAATGACAGCTGGTTAAATATCAAGAATTACATCAATATCATGTGTGAGATTCTATTGTATATTATCTTGAGATTGCATGAGATATCATATTTAATGAAGCTCTTGACATGGATACAAATACATCTGTAAATACAGTGAGAGAATTCAATGAATTATCTAATGAATTGAATATTCTAAATGTCAGAGAGAGATAATAACACTGTCTTCTAAGAAAACTTATAAAGAAAAAGTCAGATATTTTGAAGATGATTATCAATAAGAACTTAGAGAGTGTAATTAATTCAATCTATCTTCTAGATAATAAGATATAGCTTGTTATAAATAAAGAGTCTGAAGACTCTATTAATAAGAATAATTCTATTCTAAGTGTTCTGACAGATTGATCAACTACACTGATGAAAGCTAAGAGAAGCTCAGACTGAAACTATTAACATAAGATAATAAAAAAGAAGATTAAGATATTTGAATAGAAGAAGATATATATTATTATTAAGAAGGCTCTGAAAATGAATATTCTTATAGATAAATAAGTATATGATTGAAAATTCAATAATAAGAGAGAAATCATTCACTTTAAAACTCACTGAGTGATTAAAGAGTTCTTGTAATAACAGAGTATTTATTATATAAGATTATATACTGCAGTGATATCAGGGCCTATATCATGCAGTCTATTCACTATATTAACTGTTAAAGAATGAAAGATTAAATTGATTGACTATGTATCTGCATTTTTGAATAATATACTACTACAGAATGAGATAATCTATATACAACTGTTCACAGATGTTAAGTATAACAGAGAGAACTTAGTGAGACTACTCTGTCAGAGTCTATATAAAATGAAGCAAGCTGTAAGAGTATGATATTTTCTAGCAACAGAATATCTCATTACATTGAGATTCAAGATATTACCTTATAATGATGAATTTCTATATCACTCTGTTTACAAGATCTATCTGACATTGTATATCAATAATTGTCAGGTGATAGAATCTCAAGAACAGCAATTAGACTGAGTATTAAGAGAGATTGTAAAGAGATTTAAGACAAAGAATGTTAAAGAGATTAAGTCATATCTTAAGATAAAGATTAAATATCAGAGAAATGATAATCTAGCAGTTACATAGAGCTGTTATATTGAGAAGATTCTTGATGATTTTAGCATAAATAAGATGAATTCTGTGAAAACCTCTATAATAACAGGCATATGACTGGAATTTTCATCTGATGAGAATAATGAATTAAATAATAACTTTACAGCTATGAGATATTATCAAGAATTGAGATCATTACAGTATTTGATCTCAAGTAGTCAGTCAGATCTGATATTCACAGTTAACTATCTCTTATATTTTAACTTATATTTATACAAAGCATGTTGAGCAGCATTGAAGCATGTTCTACATTATATTAAGAAGATAAAAAACCATAACATATTATATAAGAAGAAGATAGAAGATAATCTGAGTTCTGTGATATACTGTGATTCAGACTGAGCAGAGATGAATTCTCAATATAAATTGACTACTGACTACATTATATTAATTAATAAGTCACTGATCTTATAGCAGTCACAGAGACAGACATCTATTATCAAATTAACTATAGAAGCTGAATATATTGCAGCTAGTGAGACAGCTTGTAAGATAATCTGATTGAATGATATGTTATATAACATTAGATTGATAAATGATGAAAAAGTGAAAATATACTCATATCTATAAGTTGATAATAAGAGAGCAATTGATCTAGTAAAGAGAGAATTCTTAATACAAAGATCACATCATATCAAGATTAGATATTATATTCTTTATAACTTAATTAAAAAAGAGAAAATCATGATGAAATATGTTAATTCTACAGTGAACATAGCTGACAGACTCACTAAGTCACTGATGAAGCCTGCATTTGAAGATTTTATTAAAAGAATTGATTTGAAAGAGATCAGAAAGAAATGATTAAATGATAATAATAATACAGTGAATCAATGAATTTTGCATGTATTTCTTGATTTTTACAGTTATTGCTGTACAGACATCTTTTCTAATGAGAAAATCAGGATCTGATTCATGTAATTAATTATTATTGCATTTTTGAAAGATTTGAGGATGAAGGAGGCCCCGGGTGGCGGCTTATTATAGGCCACAGTGTAGCAAGAGGGGGTGTTGGTGATTACTACACCTACCCTAGTCACATGCCACCCCAACCTATTCATTTAGTGTAACTCGCGTAGTTAGATTACAACACAACACAACAACGTTATCCTCCAAGAATATGGTGGAAGGATTAGTAAGCCAGATCACGTGACCTGACATAAAAGGAATGGTCATAGAAGAAAAAAAAAAAAAAAAAAAAAAAAAAAAAAAAAAAAAAAAAAAGAAAAAAGAAAACTTTTTTTGAGGGAGAGAGAATTGAATAAACCACTAGGAGTTGTTGCACATGCATGAATAATAACAATGGCTCATGTGAAAATGAAACAAATATTTTAGCTTGCTAAACTTAAATATCAACAGATCTATAACTGGCCTGCAATATTCCCCCAAGGGATTTGAAAGGAAAGTATCCGAGATACTGAAATTCAACCTACCTATCATTGTTTCAACCAAAGACTATGTGGCGCGCGAGAGAGAGAACTGGGCTTGTTCAGTGCCTTTTTATCTCTTCCTTCCCCCCCCCCCCTTCCCCCGCGATGGCCCCCTTAAGTAATAATCCATACAAACCCATGAGCATAGTAATACACATAGCTCCAGACATTTAGTACTCCTTGCGGGAAATATACAGAGTTAGCGAGTAAAAATCGCGAGCTCCTCTGCTCGTGGGCCTTGGGCTGGTCGAGGGGTAGGTAGGTAAGTAGGTAAGTAGGTTGCTTGCAACTCATTACTTGAAGCAAGGAGATTCTCATCTGGGGGTTCTTCACGCCCTAAAGCACTCCCACGCACAACCACTATTCCGCATATTGGTTTCGAAATGCAGGAGACGATTTGTTGCCCTTTAGAGATAATAGAGTTAAATGGAGCTAAGGCGTACTTACAGATGTCGTCAGGCCCAAGGATGTATGTTGCCAGCTAGATAATGTTAGAATATAAATGTATAGTATAGTTCAACGATAGCGTGAGATGACCAAAGTGCTGGGGTACCATGTATGTGTTTAGGGAATATTGAATGGAAACCATGTAACTAGCCCGCGGGTGGGAAAGATTTGATAATTATTTCCCCTTTTTTCTAAGTAATATATAAAATATATATGTGTAAAATTCGTTTCATTCTGGGTAGGGAGTTATCTAGTCGTAAACCCTTGCTGAGGACCGGGTATGTTCAAATAATTAGCCAAAGGGAAACAAAAGAAAAAAGAAAGAAGAGAAAGAGAAAGCTATATACATGGTAAGAAAAGAGGGGGCGTAGAAGATAGGAGTAGGAAGATGGGGATATGTATGTACAGAGAGGATGGCATGGTCCTCCCTTTACAGCTCAGACAGGATGGAAGAAGGGGGGGGGGGGGGGGGGGG